AGCCCCACCCATATCAGGCTTCCTGCTCAGTGGGGAGCCTGCTTCTCCCTCTGCCCCTTCCCCTGTTCGTGCTCTCTCTCTCTCTCTCTCTCTCTCAAATAAATAAGTAAAATAAAAATAAAAAAAAACTTTAGTGTGTGTGTAAAATCACAGTAATATGAATAATTTCTGATTTTGTCCAAAAAATTAATTCTCCCAACAATTACATTGCAATGAGTTCTCAAAGATGTAAACCACTTTGACTGGATTATATTTCCTTTTAAATCTCTTTATTAGAAGAATGTCTCAGGCACTAGGGAGAATACAATTCTTTGCATGTTAAAGAATTTTAGTTTACTTAAAAAGTTTTGGTAATTCAGGGTTAATTATATACTTTATACTGGAACATGAAAGATTAGTAACCTAAAGATATTTAGATAGTTTCTCTAAAGATTAATAAAAATGATTAATAAAATTAATATAAGCCTTCCTTGTTAAATTATTATGGGAAATGAATAAGAAAATTTCATCAGCCATACATAAAACAGTAAAATTCAGAATCACAAACTACGCATCCAAATAAAACATAAGTGTATTTCTCAAAATCATTACTAATAGTAGTTCTTCTCATGTGTCCCATGGCCAGAAGAATCCCAGAGCAGGACAATAATAGGTCCTTTTAATTATCATCACTCTCTGGAAAAAGTACATCTTGAGAAAATATGCAAGGGACATACCAGTTCTGATGACAATGCACAGGCAAAGAATTAAGTCGATAAATGGCATAACAACCAGCCCTATTGGGCTGTAAGTGTTGAAAAGCCAAATCACTTGGCTTATGGGTGGGGGGATGGGGGTGGATTAACTGACTCATACAAAAAGTGTAGGCATTGACTTCAGGCATGGCTGGATCCTGTGCAACATCATTGCACTTTGGTCCCTTTCCATCTCTCACATCCACTTTCCTGTTTATTGCCTTCACTCTGAGGCAAGTTCTCTCCCTGTGACAGCTGGAACAGCACTAGGCATATATCTTCCATTCCTATCCAGCCAATACCCAAGTACTTGTTCTAATTGCACAAATTTGGTCACACACCCATTCATGAACATTTACTGCAGCCAAAGGATGCTGGTCCAGGCAGAAAAAAGAGTGAATGCTACACAGCCAGAACCAGTAGCTTTCTATCCTAATAAGGCATAACCAATTTTATATTGCTTTTGAGCTATGTAAATGTCTAGGTTCCTGTTTCCTAAAATTTGGACATCTTGAATTCATGGAGCCATCTGCTCATATCATATGATTACCTCAAATTCAAATGTTCTTTTTGAAACAGAGCACACCAGTTTGTGAGAAGGTTCTTATCTACTCAGCGTGTTGCCTCTATATTATAGCTGAAGTCCCAAAGCTGAGAATAATGAGACAATTCCACCACCACCCCCCAGCCCCATTCTAAAGAGAGTGCCTAAAACATACAGGCCAGTCTTAATGAAAGAAAACAAATCAGCCACTGGGTGGCTCAGTCAGTTGAGTGTTCAACTAGATTTCAGCTCAGGTCATGTACGCTTGGGTCACAGGACTGAGTTTTGCATGGGCTCTGCACTCAGTGGGGAGTCTGCTTGGGATTCTCTCTCCCTCTCCCTTGACCCCTCCCCCAACACACTCTCTCTCTCAAATAAATAAATAAATAAACAAATCTTAAAAAACAGAACAATCAGTCCAGTATCTGTGAAGCCCTCACTTCCAGCGTTTATAGGACATGGCCAAATTGTGAAAGATCATGGGAAGAAGGTCAAGGAGAGCAGGAATTCAAAGGAGTAGAGAGTGTTTCATCTCTTTTTCCTTCTCTCCTCACATATTTCTCCTCCCAGAGAAAGGTATGTTACCTCCCAACCTCCCCCATAAAAGATGGAAGGAATCTGCAGAAGGGGAGACAGGCGCCTTGCTTCTTAGCAGACAACTTATCAGATGATGAGATGAGAAAAATAAAGTAGAGTAAGTGGTGGGTGTGGCTGTGTGTTGCTTGAGATGGAGTGATCAGGGAAGACCTCACTGATAAAAGGACACTGGGGCCAAGGCCTAAAAGTGAGGGAAAAAGCCATGCAGAGAGAACAGAATACCCAAAGGTCCTTAGCAAGAACATGTTTAGTAGTTTCTGGAGAGGAAAGAAGCCAACGGGACTGGAGAAAAGTGAGCAAGAGGGAATGTCGAAGGGATAAAGGGTGGAGGTTAGAATGGCGTTGCGTTTACTACAATGGGTGGAGAGTAATGGAAGAGTGTGCAAGACCACACACCACACCCTGCATAATGTACTGCCTGAGCTTTTGCTCAGGCCTGGACTGGGGGCTGGAGGAGGTCAGGGAAACTTTGAACTGTATGTGAGATTAGATGTAATTAGATTAGAAAACTAGGCATTGGGTTTGGATTTAGACTGAACCGTACTTGTCTTTTAATACCTGAAGGTAAGCCTTACTTTTCAGGTATTAAAGTGGCTGGAAAGCCATGAGATCTATATGAAGGGTTATCTCCAGGGCAGGAATGAGTAGGTAAGTGCGTGTTTGAGGGTTAGGGAAAAATAAAGCCGTTCCCTATGTGTACCTCACAGAGTTTACTTTATTCAATAAACTGATTCGTTTCTAAAAGAATCAAAACCCTTACAATCCATCTGTGAATTCACCATATACAACACAATGTTTTACACACTATTATGCAAACCCAGTACACATTCGCTAAGTATGGAGTAGTATAATATGCTATTTGGGGGGAAAATGATGTGGCACTAGGTAATGGTCAGATCAAGGAAAGCTGAAGGAGGACTTAACTTCCTAAGTAGTATAATTCAAAACCTGAGATTATTTGAGGGTTTACATGTGGCTTCCTGACCTTTAATTACAGTCACCAACAAAGGTCTCACTGTGAACTAGTTAGAAAGGATCAATACCCAAACAGCCTATGACACAGAAATGATATTTGCTGCTTGCTAGTTTTAATGTGCAGTGTAGGGTCCAGGAAGTAGAAACAGCTGCAGGATTGTACGATGAAATAAATTGAACAGAAACAGAGTAACACACAGAAGTGACACTTTTTTAAAGGACGGAAATCACTAAATTGGCTATTTCCACTCCCATTTTGGGCTTAAACAAGATGACAGTTTGTTACCCTTTCATAGAGAAGAAATCCAGAATTTGGCAGTCCAGAGCAGAAATGGCATCTCCAAGGTCAGCAGAAGCTAGTTTCTTCCTATGGCACTGCTTTGGTCAGTCCAGGGCCTATCACCTCCTGATTCACAATGGCTACTTGATTTCAACCCATCACATCTGCCTCCCAGCCAGGCAGAAAAAAGAAAGAAGAGGACTCCTCTTTCCTTTGAAGGATACTCCCATGAAGTCCCCACACAATTCAGTTTACCAAAACTAGCTGCAATGAAGGTTAGGAACTGTGACCTTTAGTATTGTGTTTCTAAGGAAGAAAAGCAGAATGGAGGAAGACATAGTCAACTAGCCATTTCTGCCTCATCTAGTTTCTCTTAAAGACCTGTGGGTGAAGTTAGATTGGATGCTTTTTATCAAGAACAGTTACTCCCTTCCTTATGTCTGCCCGTTAGGTTAGTGTGTTCACAGCTCTATTTACTGGTTATATTGTGCTTCTGATCTTTAATAGCTAATTCCACTAGTTCCAAAGACAAAAGTTCAGTTATATAACCTATCAACGTCTTCCCTGTCCAGCCCTCCACCAATGAATTGGCTGTGCCTGATGATTCATCTGCCTCCTATGGAAATTATTAATAATTTGAGTCAGGAAACATAGAAGGAAAGGCAGAGTGTGGTGATGGAACAGGGGTGGGCTTCAGATGAGACTCCCCTGGACTGAACTCCTGCCCCCAACATTCACATAACATGACTTTGGGTAAGTTTCCAGCATCTCAAAATTCCCATTTCCTTCTCCATAAGACAAGGATGATAATACCTCTTAAAGCTGCTATGAGGAATGAATTAAATACATGTGAAGTGACCCTATGCCCCTATAGCACTCAAAGTCATTCTTCTGTAATTCGCTCATTGTTCTCAGAGCCCCTGCAATGTGCTAGATATCATGCTGGATGCTGTGGTTGTTGAAGCCTAAAGAAGACATGCAGGAAGCTCATGATGTAATACAGGAGCTTAAGACACACAGAAACAGGCTCTGCAGAGTAGGAAAGGTTTTACACATGTGCAACCTTAGAATGACACCTCTCTTGACTGATATCAAAATAGTAGATACATTATCTTCCAGAAAATGGGATGATTCTATCTGTTAAGGATCCGTGTGCTTGATTTGCTGTTTGGTAACAAGCACTGACATGTGGGCCACCCCACGTACATAAATAGGGTCACATGAAATGCTTGCAGTGCCCCCCCGGTACATTTTTCTGAAAAGTGACAGAGAAGTACCTGCGTGATACTCTCTTGACCACTCCGTGAACATGGCATATTACTTTAGGTTAGAATGTGAAAGCTAAAACAAACTGATCGTCGCACTACAAAAATTCAGCCAAAAGTCCCTTTTTTACATCAATATGTCTTCAAAGCTTATGGCAATAGTAATGATGCACTCTCTGGTCCCCACTGCCTTTGTAGAGATGTGTTGAAGATCTCTACGTGCCTGGCCCAGGGTGGGCACTGCAGTTGTGAAGATGAACAAGAATGGAGCACACAGAAGGGGCACAGACAAGTGGGATTTTCATTACCGTGTGATTAACGCTACGGAGAGAACAGATATGCTGGAGCGCTAGGCAAGTTCATAGATGGGGACAGCCCATCTAGCTTTGGCCAGTGAGGGAATGTTGCCTGGAGCAAGCAAGTTCTGCACTGAGGCCTAGAAAATGAGCAGAAATTAACCAAGCGAAGGGTGCTTCAATCAGTGCAAAGGGCAAGTCCAAAGGGCATGGTACATTAAGGACAGGAGGGATTCAGTGTGGCTGAAGAGGAACGTGAAAGATGAGATTTGCTAGGTCCAGATATTGTATCCCGGCACAGACACATACCATGAAGAATCTTGATCCCCGCTGTGATGATTCAGTTCACAGGCTTCTCTTAATTTTCTAGGACATGCAGAGAAATAACAAACAAATAAACAAAAGAGGATTCATTTTGTTATGGCAGAAAATAATTGTATGTAAAATCGGAGAAACAGCTACATAGTATCACTTTTCCACATAGAAGCAACACAGGAAAAGGAGTATACTGTTACTGTACATATATTCTAAACAGCTTGTCAATTCATTAAAGTACTCAAGCTTTCAGTAACTTGGGTTTAATTCTTTATACCGCTTCAAGAATAACATGGTAGGATGTCTCAGTCAGTTAAGCATCTACCTTCGGCTCAGGTCATGATCTCAGGGTCCTGGGCTCCCCACTCAGTTGGGAGTCTGCTTCTCCCTCTCTCTCTCCCTCTGCCCCTCCCCTCCGCTTATGTTCTTTCTCTCTCTCTCTCTCTCTTTAATAAATAAATAAAATCTTTAAGAAAAAAATAACACAGTAAAGAAATGATCATGATTCTGCAGTGTCTTTGAAAATTTTTTAAATCTATATTTAACTTGTTTCCTTGATGTAGACCCTCAAAGAAGTTCAGGCTAATTATAAGGTATGTCTATATTACTATCCCTTTGGGTGAGAGAGCCCATCACATTTCATAAACTTAATGGAATGAATAAGAATTTATGCAACACTAAAAGATTAACCAGAAATTTCCAAATAGTGACACTGAGTCCAGTTAATGAAGCTTATTTCTCAGTAGGCAATGTGGTACCTTTAAAAAATGCATATAACTAAAGGATTTTTCTCTTTCATTTATGGTTACTATGCAAATTGAATATCCATAAATTCATTCTAGATAGAGTAAAAGCAATAAAATTTTCATGATTTGGCAGGCTTTAAATCATTTACTTACAACACTATAATAAGTTATTGAAGAAAGAGGCTTATAAATTGACAGAATCCCCTTAATAGCAAAGAAAATGTTAGTACTTTGCAGAGAAAAAAAAGCAGAATTTCCTATTTAACTGACACAAAGAAAACAATTTCCAAAAGTTCAATAGATATTTTTAGAAGACAAAAATCATTCACAAAAATACTAGGTTAGGTGCTATGATCAGATTAAAAAAAAAATGAACCACAGTCCTTATCCTCACAGAGCACAAAGTGGAATAGATTACCCTCTCCTCACAACAATATGGATTTTCAGGTTCCCACAACTAATGGAATAGAGCATACTTTGAATCTGGACCACAAGAAATCAAGATGAAGAAGTAGAGTTGACAATCCTACATCCCCTTCAGCATATTTGAGACCTCTTTGAGAAGGGGAAGGGATATTAGGTAAGGAGATCTAATGTCCTTGTTCTAAGTCATTTGAAGTAACTTTATTCCCTCTGCTATGGGATATGCCTCAATTACCACTCCTTTTTTAATTTTTCTACTCCATCACAGCCTTGCCTTCCATTACTTACCTTCATTATTTGGAAACATCCATTTGACAGAAAGAGCCATAAAAGGTACATGTGATTCTGACATTCATTCTTCCAACACTTCAAAGATGCCTGAGGGCAGAGGAACAACTGACTTAAGAGCCTGAGTTGCTGTTATGAATTCAAATATTCAATTCACTCATCTCTTAGATCTGCAAGTATAAATGTATCCTGTGGCGAATTAAGTGAGTGTTAACAAGTGATGTGCTCAGGCTCAGGAAGACAGAAGAAAAATTATGTATTCTGGAGTAACTGGGGGAGGTATTTAAATAAATTTATATATACATATTTACTTATCACCCACCATGCGCCAAGTATATAATTCTGTGAAACAGATATTATTGTTCCTGTTTTAAGGATTAGAAAACACAATCATTAAGACAAGAGATTTTCCTTAAATATTTAAGGAACAGAGACAAGATATGGGCCTAGACCTGCCAGTCCTGCACTCTTCCCATAACACTAGTCCACTTCTTGGAAGTAGCAAGGTGCTAACTGGGTCCTGAAAGATATAGATTGGAGCAAGGTATTGAGAAGAGACAAGTACATAAGGAAGAGAAGTGTGTCTCAGGCCTTGTCATCCTTAAGGGTATTGGGGGAACACACTGCCACTAGATTTCCTTTCACATTTTTCTCTCTAGTAAGACGTTAGAGAAGAGACGACTGGGACAGAAAACCTCTTACTTCACAATTCTGTTCCTGAGGGTACCAATTTAGGAAGACCATAGCCTTGAGGGATCACTATCAAGGGTGGGGGAACCCTTAGATAACAAGTTATGACTTTCTGTCTTCAGTAGTTTAGAAAGCCTAATTCATTAGACTCTTGTAAAATTTCAGTATTATCTCATTGTCCTTCATTCCAGTCTCCTCCAAAGAGCAGGACACATTACAGAAAAAGGAGAACCGATGTTACAACCCCACTGCTCTATCTTTTCTGTTTCGTTCTCTAAAGACTTCATTTATCAGGTGATCAGTTTACACTAGGCAACAGTTGGCTGGTAGTCCAACTGAACTACAGTGTGTAACTTCCATCCACTTAGGGATCAAGTTCTGGATGTGAACACAATAAAAGATCTCTCCTGGATTGAACTGTATAGATTTGCACTGAAGTTACCACAGTTTTGTTTATACATTTGATTATAACGTTGACATTAAAAACGCAGCTTAGTATGGTGACTAACCTAACATTAAAAAAAAAAAAACAACTCAGCTGCTTATTCCATGCGTTGCTTATTTTCAACAATTAATTTTTTTTTAAACAAAAGGTGTTCTGGATGAAGGCTTAGTAAAGCTTAGGTTACACATTAGAATTCAAGTGCTGAATATACAGTTGTTGGCCGCATAGTCTAAGAAGGTAGCAGGCTTGAAGGTCATATAATGTCACTAGAAGAACGTCTGAATGATATGAGAAGTTTTTTTTTTTTTAAAGATTTTTATTTATTTATTTGACAGAGAGAGATCACAAGTAGGCAGAGAGGCAGGCAGAGAGAGAGAGGAAGGGAAGCAGGCTCCCCGCTGAGCAGAGAGCCCGATGCGGGGCTCGATCCCAGGACCCCGGGATCATGACCTGAGCCGAAGGCAGCGGCTTTAACCACTGAGCCACCCAGGCGCCCCTGATATGAGAAGTTTTAATTCCTAAGGAATCGTTAAAGAGAAAGAAACTATTAGGGGTTTTGGTTACTGGAAGAGGGGGCTAGAGTTCTTAAAATTTTATCAGTGATGACTTTAGAAAACCAACAAAAGGTCATTAGTAAAACAGTTGGCTTAGATAATATAAGAGCGAGGCTAATGCAGGATCAAAGTATCAGATTATATAATCTGTTCTGAGGCAAACTCTCTATGGAAGTCTTACCAGGAAAATGGAAGATTCTAAAAGGGAATACTTAAAACAATTTTTAGAAAGGTAGCAAGTTCTCTGTTTGTTATATACTGTAATACATAATAGTTTCCAAAGACCTACTTTAATGAAGTTTTAGGATTTTCCCCTGTGTTTCTTGTGCCTTTTATGACACTACCATTTTCTTGCTTGTGCTCTTAAGCCACCACTAATGTACCACAAAAATATTTTCAAATGCCAAAAGAGACAAAAAAAAGGGGGGGGGACAGCAAGCATAGACTATAAGAGATGAGAGCAATATATGAAATAGACAAGTCAGTCGGCCACTCAGAGTACAACAGAAATCAGTGGACAAGAGGAGGCAAAGCATTGACTTGTCAAACCATAAATTTGCAACGTTTTTTTCATTTGGCAAAGGACATCCAGAATGGGAAGACAGTTGACCAAAACAATGTAATGTGGTATAGAAGTGTTAAAATGTAAACACGTTTCCAGTTGAAGGAGCGCCTGGGTGGCTCGGTGGGTTAAGCCTCTGCCTTCGGCTCAGGTCATGATCTCGGGGTCCTGGGATGGAGCCCCGCATCGGGCTCTCTGCTCGGCGGGGAGCCTGCTTCCTCCTCTCTCTCTGCCTGCCCCTCTGCCTACTTGTGATCTCTCTCTCTGTCAAATAAATAAATAAAATCTTAAAAAAAAAAAAAAAGATGTTAGGGTGAGATGAGTAAACTATGTGAATTGCTAAGTAATAATATTTACGTAGATTAACTTATAGTTCGCGTGGCTAATCAAGAAGGGGTGTGACTAATATCTGGAACAAAATGGTTCATGTTCACATGCCTAGAAAAGGCTTTTGTATCTGTGGTGGTTTCCAAACTTTAGTATGGATACAGGTTTTTGGGATGCCTATCAAAATGTACATTTCCAGGCCCCTTTCCCAGATTCTGATCTAGCAGTTCTAGAGTAGGGTTTCCAAATCTTGGCCCTATTAATATATTAAGAGATGATTTTCTTGCTGTGGGGACTACCCTGTGCCTTGTAGGTGGCTGAGCAGCATTCCAGGTCCTCTAGATACCACAGCATCCTTCCCCTGGGCCTATTCCAGATGTTGCTAAATGTGCCCTGGGGGCAAAAATCACTCTCCTCCTTTGGGAATCACTTGTTAGGGTGAAGCCTATGGACTGCATTTCTAATAAGAACATCCGAGTGGTTTTGGTCAGTGAACCAAACTTGAGAAACACTGAACTAATGTGCTCAATTATGTCCCCTCCAAAATTCATATGTTAAAGTCCTAACCCTCAATACCTCAAAATGTGATCCTGTTTGGAAATAGTCACTGCAGATTTAGTTAAGATGAGATCATACTCAGTTAGAATGGGCCACTAATCCAATATGACTGGCATCCTTATAAAAAGGGAAAATTTGGACCCAAGAGATAAGCACACAGGGAAAATGACATGCAAGCCAAAGAACTACCAGAAGCCAGGGGAAAGGGCTGGAACAGAGTCTTCCTTAGCTCCCACAGGCAGAGGATGGCCCTGCAGACCCCCTGACCTCATACTTCTGGCCTCCAGAACTGTGAGACAATAAATTTCTGTTGTTTAAGCCATCCAGTTTGTGGTACTTTGTTAGAGGAGACCTAGCAAACTCGCATATAATAAATAAAACACAAGTCAGAGTTTAGCACTGGGACAACATTTGAAGCAGGATCAGAAAGAAAAATGGAGAGATTACAGATGGGCACCAATTCCCAGTTTATCTTTCTCAGTGCCTGACATAAAACAGAAGTTGATAGTTTTTATTTTTATTAAGCACTCTCCACATATATCTTGCCTAAGTTAAATATTAAGAATAACATCTTATAATTTGTAACTTTATAAGGTTGAAATTGCCAGTGTTCCATTTTCAAGTCTTCCTCTAGATTACACAGTACTTGGATAGGCTTGAGTCTGGAGTTGACTAGAGGACAAATGGAACTAATTAATTATGCCATTATCTACCGAAAAGGTAACATGTAAATGTGAGATTCCATACAAGGCAAAAATGTACCGACTGATCACACTGTAGCTTTAAGAAAAGGGTTGACTGTTTCAGGTCACAAAGGCACTATTTAGAGTACAGCAAGTGGGACCATGTGTCCAGCAGGCCACACGGTCATGTGCTTCTCTAAAGCAGGCAATTCATACTCTCTCACTGAAAGAATGAACCCCATGATATTTTAAAAAAACCTGAAGAGGCATGTACTCTGATAGTTTCATTTGCAGTAAAAGTGAGCACTGCTGTGGGTTATTAATTATCAGGAGGCAAAAACAAGAGCCCAGTGGCAAATGGCAGTCTTTTTATCCTCAAGATATAAGAGTCATACTAATAGATATCTCAGTTCCTGTTTCCTCCCACAATTGAACAGGGGTGAGAAAACAAGCCGCCTTGCCTCAAGATTTTAGAAAGAAAAGTTGTAAAGCTTCTATTGCAGATGAAGGGCCCCAACATTTATTTTTCCTGCTCCCATAAGCATAAATACTTCATGATAAAGAATGGTAGGCTCCTAGAAATGTCTACAAATTAACTTGAATGGTCAAATACAAAGTTGGGCGCATGACGTGTAAGTGCCCTCCCTACATCAGGATAAACTAACAGGACGTTTGCCTGGAAGCCTCTGCCAAACTCTAAACAACTTCACCTCTGTAAATCCCCTCACCTTTAATCTAGGAATCTTTCCAGCATGCCCTCAGTCACATGAAGTTACCGTCAGAGCCCAGGATACCTCCTGTCCCCGGGACAGGTTTGACTCTTGGGGGCAAAGTGGCAGGGTGGATAACTAAGTTTGGCATGTGTTCTGAAAGGCCCCGGAAGATTAGGATAAGGACTGCCCATTCTCCAGGTTTTTTTTTGTTTTTTTTTTTTCTTTTTCCAAAAGACGGTCAAGGCCAGCAAAGAACGGACTGTCTCCGAAAGGAGAGCCATGCTCAGACAAAACAGAAATCCGGGGGGCCAAAAGCAGGTTTTTATAGCAACACTAATACAACAGAAGGCCTTCTCCGACCGCGCCAATAGTTTTTTGTTGTTGTTGTTTTGGGTTTTTTTTTTTTTTTTTCGGTTCCTGAACCCTTTCACCCCTTCCCCCAGCGTGCCTCTCTTCTCACTCACAATCCCCACGCCCCATGCCCCCCTCCCTCCAACAAAGGTGAGGGCCCACGCCAACCGCAGACTCTAAGGTCCAGGGCGGCCAACTCCAGTCTAGGGCAGTTGCCTAGATGTAAATTTGACGTCGAGACATCTAATCTCCCACGTCTGATCTCCGGCTATTGTGCCTCGAGGGGGAGGCAGAACAGGTGAGGGCGGCAGGAGGAAACCAGTTCCGGCACAGTCCGAAAGGGCGAAGCGAGGGTGCGAGGGTGCGAGGCTAGGGAAGGAGACCACAACGCGATAAATAAAAGGAGGCGAGCCCCAAACACTGTCTCTCTCTCTCCCTGAGATCACCTTGCCTTGACCTAGTTGAGCCGAGCAGGAAGGAACCCAAGAGGGCGAAGGAGAGGCTGGGCGAGCGGTGGGCGGGGCCGCGAGCCAGAGCTTTCTCGTGCTCGCTTGTGATTCGCTGACGGATTAGGGCCGGAAGCTGCTGGGAGACATTGGCGGCGGCGGCGACGGCGGCGGTGGCGCACGTGGTGACGTGCGAGGGGGTGCGGCACGAGCGGGGCGGCGGCGGCGGCAGTGTCTCCGGGACGCGCGTGGAGGTCGGTCGCGCAGAGCTGAGCTGCACGGTCTCTCCGCCTGCTGCTTCGGCGCGGCAGTGCCAGCGAGCGAGCGAGTCCCCGCGAACCCTCGGTGGCGCGGCCCCTCCTCGCAGCCTCTGCGGCTGACCGCTGGTCTTCCCGCTCGACCGCTCCCCCCTTCCGCGGCCTCGAGGCGCTTTCCGTTGGGCCGATTCCCGCCCGCTTCCTCCTGCTCCCCATCGAAGCTCCAGACATGAGTTTTTCCATCTCTTCAGAGATGAACCAGGTAATACGCGCAGGTTCCAGACGGTGGAGGAGGGAGAGGGCGCGACCGGAGTCCGAGCAGAGGGATGGCGCGGGCGGCTGGGGAGACGGTGCGAGGCGCGGAGCAGCGTCCTGGTCCCGGGGGAGGACGCTCCAAGCCGCTGCTGCCGCTTTCTGGGGGCGAGGAGCTGGCGCCGCGCGGGCCCCGCGCTCCCGGCGCTGCCATGGTTGCCGAGTCGCGTTGGCGGCCGAGGCGGCTGCGGGCCGCCTCAGAGGGAGCTCGGGCAGAGGAAGTAGGGCGGGAGTTTTTGCCCATGGGATTCTCGGGGGCCTGGGTCAGGGCGACACGCGGCAGGGATGACTGCCGGAAGGAGAACGCGGGAATCTCCTTTCCCGCTGTCAGGAACCGACTCCCTGTGTCTGGGTCTCACGAGGTCTGGACTCTCTTCCCTGGGACCTCGCAGGACTCGGCGCGTGTGGGCGGGGAGCCGGCCCCGGGCTGCATCGGTGCCTCGGGCCTGGAGTGGGGTGGCACCGCGTCCCGGATCGCCGTGGGCCGCGGGGTCCTTTGTTCCCGCTCCACGTTGCCCGCTTTTCTTGCCAAGCGCGGGGAGAAGGGGGCGGGAGGAGGGAGGGAGCGGCTGCCCTGACGTGTCAGCGCTGAATGACTGCATGGCCGGCCAATCCCAGCCGGGGGTGTGCGGGCGCTGGGCGCCTTGCCTTCCAGCCTTGGGAGTGGGCGCCCTCCCGGCGGCGCTGGGAGGAAGGCCTGGGGCTACCCGACTCTTAAGTCACTCTGAGGCGATCGCCACTTGCCTTGCTTTTTAAAAAAAAAAAAAAAAAAAAAATCAGCGGAGAGGTCTGCTCTTTTTCCATTCTTGCACGCGTCTTGCAAAACGGCGTTTGGTTGTAAGTTCTTGATGGTAGGAAAGTATCAGGCAATATCAGATTGAGAGTTTAATGTAAGAAGACTTGGACGACAAATATTTTACAAATAGATTCACTGTTTCTTAGTACATAGTAGATTTGAAACAGCTGACGTTTCAAAACCTGTAGCAAGTAGACATAGGCCTAAAGAGCGTCGTTTTGTTTCCTAATGTCTATTGCCAGTGATGGAGGATTAGAATACTCTCGTATCAAACTGTCTTTGAGGACTTTGCGTGGTCTTCGGTCTAGTGATAAGTAACAACTTTGGAAGCGTGGTACTTAACTACTCTTAACAGTTGAACAAGTACAGCTTGGACCAGACTACCAGAATCCGTATTTTCCTTTAATAACTCTGGCATTGGCAGTTGATTTTAGGATAACAAAATACTGATGAATAGTTAGTTGTAGGCATAATCGTGCTGAAATCTTCCTCTTAAGGACGCTAAGGAGAGCAGTTATATATCTGGAGATGAGACAAACACTGTTTAGAATTGGATTAACAATAGTATCATTTAAAGCTAGCTGGCAGGCTTCTCAGATGTCTGTAGTTTGGTAGTTAGTGGTAAAACTGGACTAGAACACACTGACCTAAAAGAGACCTGGAATGGTTTTCCTCTGAATTTTTCTAATATGTGAAATCTATATAGTTAGTTAATAGATATTATACCTTTTATCTTAATTTGTACTATTTGTCTACCACCCCCCTCACCCCCCCCACCCCCCGCAAAAAAAAACAAAAACAAAAACCCAGAGGATCCCAGGTTTGGTTTTAGTTTTAAATTGGTATCTTTTGGGCTACTTTGGAGTGGGGTTTTTTCCTTGGTTGAGGTATATTTGTGATGGCAATTGAATGTAGTTTTGCAAATGTGGTTTTTAATGTAGAATGTTCTTTTATTGGGGAAATGTCTTAATTACTGATACCAAGATAAAGTACTCCTAAAGATAATTTCATTGACTTTTCTTTTTTAAAAAGATTTTATTTATTTATGTGACAGAGAGAGACACAGCAGTATGATTTTATAGTCAGTCTCCATGGAGGAATTCTAAAAGGTTGGAGATCCTCCCACCTTAGGCTAGAGAGTGTAAATGGAGAAATTATGAACAAGGGAGTGATCTCTGGGTTCTTGTTAGAAGCACAGAAAATACATGCTTATGTTCACTTGTAAACTTGAATTACCACCTTGTAAGTGATTTCTAAACCTTATCAGTATTTTCCTACCTATCAGATCAGTATTTTAACACATTTGGTATCAAGCTGGATACCGAGCAAGTAAACTCAGCATTACAATGTCCCACAGCAAATTCCTCTTCTTCTAACTAACTTTGAGCTTGCAGCAAACTACAAATAACTGTTAAACACTTTCTGGAATTCTAATTTTGATACTGATTTTGATAATGATGCCACACATATCCAAGCTAAAATAATAGGATAAGCAGGGGTATATAATATCTTAATGTCCCCGCTTCCATATTTTATATGTTCCTCTAGACCATCCCCCCCAATTCTGCTAGAGTGTTCTTACTGTAATCCTTTTCTGCTCTCCAGCATTGTTTAAACCTTAGCATTGATCTTTCTTACTTCCTCCCCCACTATTTACCATCTGCATCCTGCAGACTATAATCCATTGAAGCAGAAATAGCTGCAGTTTCTGGAATCTCTATGTCCTGCCCCTTTCCTCTTTTGTTTGAACTATTTTCCCTGCTTGATATCTGGCTTTCTGGTTGGTCTGTGAAGTGTTCGGTGCTGGGGATGGAGTTAACTCCATTGGTATTATAAGCATCCCGTTCCAGATTGTCCCCGCCACATGTTTGGTGCCACAAATGGGGATATAAGAATTGCAGAACAATGAGGATGGAGAATTGAGTGAGTTTGACTTTTGAGACCATAGTTTGCAAGGTGACGGGGAATGTATAACTTCTGGTTTTACAAAGATTGCATTTGTAATTATAAAAATCTGTCCTTTAAAAATAGAGTTCATTGCTATTTTGTGAGCTGGCTGCCCTCAAAAGATTGCCTTGAAACTTAAATAATAACATTGTTACTTGCCTTGAGGTTTTAAGGATGCTTTGAAAGTTTAATGATAACATTTTATCTTTTAAAACTGATAACATTTTATTCTTGGGCTTACTGAAGGCCCAAGAAGAATTTGGAGGCCAGGCCATAGTGTGCCTACCTTTTTTACAACTCTTGGGTAGGACCTGTTGAATTGTATTTCAGTTAAGCTAATCTTTTCGGGGCCTGTGGTAACATAACATGTGAACTTCTGGGTGTTACTGAAGCAGTTTAATTACTCATTTATGAGTCTTCTGTCTCCATTTTCTTGCACTGGCCATACTAAGGAATGAAGGTGTATTTACCAGAATATATTGTATTTGACCCCAGTTTTAATTTTTAAAGTGGATTAGTCGATTGTATATTTTAAGTAGCAAAGAAATTTTTTTTTAGATTTTAATTCCCGTGTAGTCAACATACAGTGTTTTTAGTTTCAGGTGTACAATATTGTGATTTAACAGTTCCATATATTACTGAGTGCACATTAAGACAAGTATACTCTTAATCCCCTTCACCTAGTTCACTCATTGCTCTACCCACCTCCCCTCTAGTAACCATCTCTTTGTCCTCTATAGTTACGAGTCTTTTTTTCGGTTTGTCTCTTTTTTTCTTTTCATTTGGTTCTTGAATTTCACATATGAGTGAAAGCATGTGGTATTGTCTTTCTCTGGTATATTCTGCTTAGCATGATACTCTCTAGATCCATCCATGTTGTTGCAGATGGCAAAATTTCATTCTTTTATGGCTGAGTAATATCCCGTTGTATGTATGTATATATATGCCACATTTTCTTTATCCGTTCATCTATGGATGGATACTTGGCCTGCTTCCATAGTTTAACTCTTGTAAATAATGCTGCAATAAACAAAGGGTGGATATATCGCTTTAGGTTAGTGGTTTTGTATTCTTTAAATAACAAAGAAAATTTTAAATTTTATACTTTTATGTAACTCTAGGGTGTTGGGGCTTTTGGTTTGGTTTTTCAAGGAAAAAAAAAATCTGCATATTTTTATTCCACCAGTTATTGAGTTTGAGTCTCACAAACCAAAATAAGATGTACTAAAATTTTTAGCATCTTTTGAAACTCAATTTGCCCATTGCTTACTTGAGTGAAAGTGACTGTGATCTTTCAAAGACATGGTTTTGTAGTCAAGAGCTGATACGACCTCCTCCAACTTGGCGGGGGTGGGGGTGCTAGTAGGGACCTACAGCATATGAGGACAATAATTGAGTAAAAATGTCAAGTGGACTTGAGCCAGCTCTTAAAATCGAGTAGGGTTGTACTGATCATTAAAGACATTAAAGAGATGAGGTTCATATTAAGACCCTGATATACTGGAAAGTCTTCCAAGTTCTAAATGGAGAAGAACTCATTTTATTGCAAACGAATAATATTGTACAAAGATGTATACCTAGAGTTGCTCCCAAAATTTTCCAGTTTTTTTTCTTCCAATGGACTGAGTGATTTTAACCATCTCCTCCCCACCCCCCCAAAATTTAAGGTAGAACTTAGATGTCATTTTTATTCTTGGTTAGATCAAGACTAGTTTACAGAAAAACACTGAATAATGAATAAAACTGGTCAATATTTAAAATGTTTATAAATCTCCATATCGTAAGTTTATGGTTTTTCAAAAAGCACATTTTAATGATATCAACATAATTTGCATGGAGGGATTCCCCCCCTCTTTACCCTTCTTATAAGAACAGCTTATGACAGGGTGCCTGGGTGGCTCAGTGGGTTAAAGCCTCTGCCTTCGGCACAGGTCATGATCTCAGCGTCCTGGGATCAAGCCCCGCATTGGGCTCTCTGCTCAGCAGGGACCCTGCTTCCCCCCTCCCCCTCTGCCTGCCTCTCTGCCTACTTGTGATCTCTGTCAAATAAATAAATAAAATCTTAAAAAAAAAAGAGAGCAGCTTATGAAACTGAAGTGAAGAGTTACCAGCTATGTCTGTGGATTGGCCACCCCCAAGTATATATCATATATACAAAGATTTTCTTAATTTGAGCTAGATCTTGGCTGAAATGTCTGAACGTTTCCTTAGGATGGTGTGTCTCTCTGTGTACATAGAATTGTGTGGTACTTGGAAATCATTTGTTAGAACTGATTTCTTAAAAGCTGAACTAATCTAGATGCAGCTATAGAGTAGAGGAAATCAGTATTATATACTAGTATAATACAGTTTAGTTACAGGGGAAAGCATTGACCACAACCCCAGCCTAGGTCAGAATTACTCGGGATGTCCTTGAAGTAGAACTTACATTATGGAGAAACCACTTAGGGCATGTGGGATCCAGCTCCATTACAGAGTATGCATGTGTTGAACTTAACAGTTTGTTCAGTTGGAGCTGGACCAGCCTTCAGTGGGTTCTGGGTTAAGTGATTATTCATTAAACTGAACATAATTGTTGGAATTCTGGGTTTCATAGATGTAGAAGGAAAATCCAGGTAATTTTAAGATGTCCATTTTTAAATGTATGCACATCTTTCAAAGTATTTAGTTCTCATTTCCTAAGTTATACTGACACTGGTATCATAGCAGTTCAGGTGATTAAAAAATAATTGCCATCTGAATTTGACACTTGCAATTGATGCCACGTGAAAATGAGGGGGGAAATGGATTAAGTTTCTAGGCTAGTTGTTTTGGTAGTGGGGACATGGGATGGATACAAAGATGAGCAAGACAGAGGTTCTGCCTTCCAGAGCCTTGAATCAAGGAAGATAAGAAGGTCCACAGAAGCCCAGCTCAGAACAGACCAGCTGGAAGATTACACATGCCTTTCAGTGTTCAGAACGTAGAAGATAGGGAGAAACTTCTCTCAACTAGGGGGATTTGGCAGGAGCTCTTTGGAGGTAAGACTTCATCTGGCAGAGGTTGCATTAACGGTCTTCCAAGAAGAGAGAACAACTTGAACAAAGGTGCAGAGGCTGGGGAGAGCAGACCACATTTTGGGAACAGTGTATCCGATTTGACTGTTAACATTGTATACGTGTCTGGGAATGATGCCCAAAGGTTGCTTGCTGGCTGGTGAAAATGGACAGATCATATGTTTGTATGTTAGTTGTAATCTAAGAGTAAAGAATCTCAGAGTTAACAAGTATTTACATTTGTTCTCCAGTCTTGGGCTTGAATATCTCATTTAAATGATATATATTAGCTCCTGTCTTCCAGGGAAGGTGTTTTTTGTTTGTTTGTTTGTTTGTTTGTTTAATCTGATTGCAACCTGAATAGTTGCTGGTTAAAAGAAAAATGTTTATGTATAACTGCATTTGTGTTCATTATTTTCTGTATTTGTGTCCATTTACATCAAGATTTCTTCAAGAGGGCCGCATGGGGGCTCAGTCGTTAAGTGTCTGCCTTTGGCTCAGGTCATGATCGGGGTCCTGGGATCGAGCCCTGCATCAGGGTCCCTGCTGGGTAGGAAGCCTGCTTCTCCCTCTCCCACTCCCCGTGTTTGTGTTCCCTCTCTCACTGTCTCTCTCTGTCGAACATATAAATAAAAATCTTAAAAAAAAAATCCTCAAAGATAAGGACTTTGTTTGATTTAATCCACTTAGATCAATGACAGTCTTTGATCATCCTGAGTAACTGATATTTGTCATTATTACAGATTATGATGCATGATTATCACAGAAGAAATTCATGTCTATAGCTTTTAAGGACTTGATTACATCATTTCAAGCCTGATAGTTTTGGAATCACCATTTAGAGCTTAAGACACCTCTGCCTTCACTTCAACCACCTGTCTTCATACCTTGAGGAAGTTGCTGAGTTTTAATACTCCTTTGTCCTTGGATTATTTATCTAAGACTTCCCAGAAATCATTTCTCATCAGTTCAGTAGGTAAGTGAATATTCAGTGCCCAGTGCAACATTAAGACACATTGTTTTTCCTGAAGACTATGCCCAGTATACTAACAGCCTTTCATAATTTTCTTAAAGGGAATGTCAGTAATCATGTGTAGGAAAAAAACCACTTTTCTGGTTTTTTTCTTTCTGTAAACTATTTTGAATTTAAATAAATCAGCTCAAACTGAAATCTATTACTGCCTTTTAGTGGTGGATTTTGTATAGCCATTAGTCAATTCTTCACAAGTGAAGGTGAATGGACATTTTTTAAAAGAGGCTTATAACTTTTTTTTTAAAGTTTCTAGCATGTATTCTTAAGAGATAAGTGATCCCTAATATCTGAATCTTGCAAAGGGAACAGAATTTACATTTGTCTTATATATCTTTCATTTGGGAGTCAAGCAATGACAGCAGGCTTCTTAGGTTACTCAGTGTATGGGTTTGGGCCAAGCTCGGGTGATGTTTCTTTCCCCCTCAGAAAGAATGTGCATGGAAACCTAGACCAAAAGCATTGAGATAACTCACCGCTATAATAAAGCTCAAAAAGACTTAGGACCAGAGTACAGGGGTACAGAAACTTAGACATCCAATGCTAGTGTTTCCAGAGTGTTTTTGTATAATAACATTTTTGTGTTGATATGATGGAATTTTGAAAATAAAGGTACCATGTTACTCTTTAAGGTATAATTATAAAATTCCTCATTCATAAGTGTAATAATTCCGCTTTCTTTCTGCCCTTTAGCCAAATTTATAAGGAAAAATGATTCCCAACGGATATTTAATGTTTGAAGACGAAAATTTTATTGAGTCTTCTGTTGCCAAATTAAATGCCCTGAGGAAAAGTGGCCAGTTCTGTGATGTTCGACTTCAGGTATAAAAATTGATATTTTATTACTAAAAGCAGTAAATTAAGCAGATTTACTTAATTTCTTTTTCATGGTAGGCATTTCATGAAATAACTTTAAAAAGCAGTGATTTACTTATAAATATTAGATAAAGAATCTGATGTGGTAATTAGCTAGAGAAATACATAGTCCACAGTACTTCTGATTTTAATTCCTCATAATTTCAGGTCTGTGGCCATGAGATGTTAGCACACAGAGCAGTCCTGGCTTGCTGCAGTCCCTATTTATTTGAAATCTTTAATAGTGATAGTGATCCTCATGGAATTTCTCATGTTAAATTTGATGATCTCAATCCAGAAGCTGTTGAAGTCTTACTGAATTACGCCTACACTGCTCAGTAAGTACTTTATAAACTGTGTAATTAGGGGATGTCATCAGGAAATTCCAAGTCTCTCTAAATTTATTTCGATTAAGGATCTGTGTTTTAAGGCCTTAGTATCGTAAATGATAAAGAACTTTTTTTTAATAGGTTGAAAGCCGATAAAGAATTGGTAAAAGATGTCTATTCTGCAGCAAAAAAGCTGAAGATGGACCGAGTAAAGCAGGTAGAGTACGAGAAGTTAATATATAAGGAGAACTATTACTAGCAAGTCTGCTTTTACATGGTTAGAGGGCATAATTTGTCATAAGCCATTCTTAGTTTCAAGAACTTGAAAAATGGCCCCCTTTTTTCCCCTAGAGAACTGAATGTTATTTTAACCATTTATTAACCATTTAGTTACAGTTATATAGCAGGGTCATACTTCTCAGATAATTTGAGCTAAACCCTTGCTCTTCCAGTAGTCTTCTCGGCTGGGTAGCTGTATCAGTCACTGATAGCAGGGTGTAAAATACTTGTTTTTCCTCAAGAGTTAATCATATAGCTTATATTCTCAGTTTATTTGTTGTTCTACACACTGGAGTTCCTCTTTAAAAGGACTCCTTCTAGAATTTAACGCCATTGAGAACTGCTTAATAATTCATGGGGTAAAGGGCTTTAAGTCTTGTGGTGTCTGGGTGGCTCAGTTGGTAAAGCATCTGTCTTCAGCTCAGGTCATGGTCCCTGCTTCCTCTATTCTGCATTCAGCAGCATTTCTCGTGCAGAACCCAGTTCAGATTCTGCCTTCATAATGAAGTCTTTTCTAATTATTCTAGTTGGAAATATTTATTTGAACGTTTCATACGCATTATCACAGCATTTCAGTTTGTGGCATCTTTCCTTAAACAACTTAGACATTTGTATACCATTCTTTGATGTTTATTGTTTGTATACATGTGTTCTTCCCAATGTTAAAGTTGTTTGATTAGGGCAGTGATTCTTAATTCATCTTTCTATCTTCACGTAATGCTTACACACTGAGTATTAAATATTCATCAAGTAAAATATATGTAAGTATTGGTACTTGTGCATTTCTTTTCCAAGGTTTGTGGTGATTATTTGCTATCTAGAATGGATGTTACCAGCTGCATCTCTTACCGAAATTTTGCAAGTTGTATGGGAGACTCCCGTTTGTTGAATAAGGTTGATGCTTATATTCAGGAGCATTTGTTACAAATTTCAGAAGAGGAGGAGTTTCTTAAACTTCCACGGCTAAAGGTGAGTAAAAATCTATAAAGAGATATATACTACTTAGTTCCAGGCAGGGAGGGAATCTTTGTCCATGTTTCAAGCATGTAAGTAATGGTTAGGAAAAAATAGTACATTCAAATGATACTTTTACTTTTGGCAGTGTAACAGTTTTCTGCCTACCTGTTTGTGTATTTTTTTGGCTACTGATTTTCTTTCTTTTCTTTCATTCTTTTTTTTTAAGATTTTATTTATTTATTTGACAGAAAGAGATCACAAGTAGGCAGAGAGGCAGGCAGAGAGAGGAAGGGAAGCAGGCTTCCCGCAGAGCAGAGAGCCCGATGTGGGGCTCGATCCCAGGACGGTGGGATCGTGACCTGAGTCGAAGACAGAGGCTTTAACCCACTGAGACACCCAGGCGCCCCGGCTACTGATTTTCTTGTAAATTAGAGTAAATATGTGGAATGTGATTAGGCATCTGTGAGCATTTTATTAGGAAATTGAGCCGTAAGCTGAGAATTACAGGCTCAACACTGATCTATGTGTCACTGTTTTTTCCCAATTCTAGTTGGAGGTAATGCTTGAAGATAATGTCTGCTTGCCCAGCAATGGCAAATTGTACACAAAGGTAATCAACTGGGTGCAGCGTAGCATCTGGGAGAATGGAGACAGTCTGGAAGAGCTGATGGAAGAGGTTAGTTTTAAAGTAAATGGGTTTCAGCAGTTCTTAAAAATTATTTTGCTATAACATGAAGGATTCCCTCTCACTTTTATTTTATAACCGTCACCCTAAAGAATTTAAATTTTGCTATAGGTACCCCTAAGCTGAGAAACAGGGGGGGTGTCCAGGTGAGCTGAAGGCACCGTTCAGTTTGGTCTTCTGCTTTTCTTTTTTTATTTCTTTGCTTATTATGTGCTGTTAACTTCCTTTAAAGTAGCATGTAATTTGCTTTAGAAATGGCAGGAGACACTGAAATTTTCTGTAGATTCTTAATTTTTCTTCACAGGTTTTTGCTTTAAATTTGAAAGTAGGTAAAAGCTTCTAATGGTTGTTCCTCCCCATTGATTTATCTCCCCATAGGTTTATTAACAAAACTAGGATACCCAAGACTGAAGAAACAAGAAGAAACCTCCAGTGTATTGACACGTAAAGAAGCAGCAGTCCTGCCCCAGTTCTCCTAAGAAAAATCCGCTGTGGGCAGAGAGCGATGATGATTTAATGGTGTTTACTCCTTTACAGGATTCTCTCTTTAAAGCTTTGTGTTTTTCAATGGTGTTGTTCATACACATAGTCACTCACTTACCTTGGGCTACTTTTTAAAAATAACACAAGAAAGATTTGATGGAGAAATGGTGGGAATTAAACATATGCCAACGGAGCAGTAGAGTGGCCCTGCATCTGTCATTCCACGTAAGCCTTTCAGACTCACTAAAGGCTTACCAGATCTGTTAGGCCTTGAAACATGCTGTTATCATTATGCTCTAAGAAGGCTAACAGGTGATCCCTCGGTTTTATATCCTTTCCCACTTGAAAATCAGCTGCATTAACCATGTGTTTGCATCTGCTAAGGGAGTTATCTCTGTCTCTACAGCTTGTTGCATTTTGCATTTGCTTTTTATCTGTTTTTCTTGAAATTGCCTGCAGGACAGAAATATGTTAATGCAAATCAGACCACTTCAAAGGTGTAAACCATATTCCGTATTTTATTGTAAATATGTATATTCTTTAAGAGCCTATATATATTGTACTAGTGCTTTTTTTCTTAATGCTATATAATAGAAGCCATGAGAAAATGAAGATTTCTTTCAAGCCAATCAAGCCAAGGACTCTTCGGCCAGTATTAGAAGAATCCAATCTGTATTTGATTTTTGTTTTTTAAGTTTTTACAACCATGACCTGTATTTTCTTTACTTCGGGATCCTGCCAGAGCAAGATGTCAAGTTCAGGAAGCACACTGGAGGTTACCTTGAGGCGTTTGTGTGAGCTGCATACTAGCGGAGTAGCCATGGAGACGGTAGCCACATGGGTGTTCTGTTGCTGTTTTGCAGGTTCAAACCTTGTACTACTCAGCTGATCACAAGCTGCTTGATGGGAACCTACTAGATGGACAGGCTGAGGTGTTTGGCAGTGATGATGACCACATTCAGTTTGTGCAGGTACACATTGCACATCTGAGGTAACCTCAGGTTAAAATGTGATTAGAGCATTTTGTAGCATACTGAAATTTTCCTTTAATAAAGGAAAGTGGAAGAATTTCATTGGTATAACTGAACAGAAACATTTTTGGGACAAAACAAGCCTATCTTTCTTAACAGTTACTACTGTTTTTGGCACATAAAAAGAAATAAATTCAACACATTTAGATTTTTTTCTCAATGAAATAGGATTTACAGGTAGTGAGAAAGGCCGATAAGATGAAACAAAGTAGAAATTGACTTTTTGGGTTAGGTTACAAAAAAACAGTTTGCAACAGGAATGAGTGTTGTTAGACCCTCGGGGGTTTTTTTTGTTTGTTTTGTTCCGATTTTGGGGGTTTTTTGTTTTGTTTTGTTTTGTTTTGTTTTTTTAATCTTGGGTATAAACTTTTTTAGTCTGGAGACAAATAATTTAAAGTACACAAATCATAAATGTCAAATCGTGAACCCACTAATTTAAACACTACTTGGGTCAAGAAGAGATTTCTGCTTCCTGGAAACCTCTTATCCCTTCCCAGTCACCTCCCTTCACAACCCCCCAGACAAAACCATTACTCTAACTTCTGAAACAACAGACTACTTTGCCTGCGTTTAGCGTGGACACGAATGGTCATGGAGTGTGCCTTCTCTTTGGCCTTCAGCTCAACCTTGTCTTGGTGAGGCATTAACTGTAGAATAGGCTGAGTTAACCCAGTTTTAAGGAATGGTTTTCTTTAATAGAAAGTGAAATAAAGAAAACGTGAGTATTCTGTGGCAGTAGTCACCAGATATCTTTATTTTCACAAAAGTGTCAGGGTGTGAGTTAGTTGAGAACTTTTTTTGTAGTTGTGCATTTTGAACAGAGTATTTTTCCTCGTGACTCTAAAGATGTATTTTTTTTTTTAAAGTTATACTTTCAACAGTTAAAGTTTGCGTGCCCGATAAGTGGCAGGCCCTGATGTTCACGTGTATGAGGGATAGTTTCTGGTTGTAGGACCTTACAGCAGTAGACTGAAACGGTACACTCTTACAGGAGTTATCTACGAAAGGCATACAGGGGAGGGTGTGGTAGAGCAGGAGAGAAACTAGGGGAATTTTACAGAGGAGGCAACATTTGAGCAGCCCTAGGATTGAGAAGAGTTTGCATAGCATATAAAGAGAGGTATGTCGGTTACATAGGGGGATAGGTTAAATTACTGTACTTCTTTACAGCAAAAATCTATACATTAGTCCTATTTTAGACATGTGGCTAACTATCAGATGGCAGTCTCTAGGTCATGGGACTCCAGCTGATTTGTGGTTTATTTCCTTTTGTTTTTCTTACTCCCGTAAAGGATGGCATTAAACCCTTCAGTTTTTACGACCCAAGCACAGGGGGTAAAGCTTGTAAGACCAATTTACATCCTATTGCAAGAAGTCATTTTAAAAAAAATGATAAGGGCTTGATTCAAAGGCATGGAGGAGGAAGAGTGGACTCTAGACATTTATAGTTTCAAAGGTTGAATGAGTCCTTAGTGATCATTTAGAATAAGAAAATTAAGCAAAAGGAAAAGGAAGGATTTGAGAAAACGGAATTCTGACATATGTGACTCATTAGAAGGTGGTTCCCTAGATATAAAGATCATGAAGTTAAACAGGATGAGGTGACACATTAGGCTTGAGGAATAGGAAAAGAGTTTGACAAGAAGCCATTAGAAAGGAAGGAAGAAATTAGAATCAAAAGCTAGCTAACATAGGTGGAGATAATTTTGAAGGAGGACAATAAGTTATTAATTGAGTCAAATCATTCTTTGGGAGGTCATGTAAAAGAAGGTTATAGATACCATCTCTTCTGCATTAATTGTGGGAGGCCACTTCGTAATCTTTAGTGGATATAAGTTCCAAAGAGTATTAAAGTCAGGAATCTGTTAGCTTGAGAAGTAATAATGGTTGAAAAAGAAACCGCCACCAGAGATAACCCTCTGGTGAGCCAGAGGCAAAAAAAGCAGAGCCAGTGGGTGGCTGGGTGAGAGTTGATACAGGAAAGTTTGAAGATAAAGGAGAGGGAAGGATGGGTTTGGAAATGTTCCAGAAGGAATATAGAGGAGTTATCCAGCACTTCTGTATAACTTGTTTAAAAAAAAAAAAAAAAAAAGTCTTTGCTGTTAACCCTGCTTTTCTTTTACATTGATTTTTTTTTTTAATCAATTATAGTCCATACATTAGAACAGTTTTCTTACTGTGATAAAAGCTCTTAATGTAAGCATTATCAATTTGTGATACTTTGGATCCCTTCTTCCCACAGATTGGGATGGGGGTTTATGTACCTTGTAATTCTAGTAGCAGAAGACACAAGTCTGGCATAGTATAAAAAGAGTGGCTTTATACTCAGAATTTCTAATCTTTTAGTTGTATTGCATTAGGCAATGCATATCTTCTCTGAGTATTGTTACCTATAAAATGGATTGGCAGTACTGGCTGTAACTGGATCAAACGAGATGATGTGAATAAAGTTCCTAATACCTAGGTATATAGTAAATGTCTAAGTAGAACTTAATGTTAACCGTTAACCTAGTACATGCTCTACCTGTTCTCAAAATAGCCTACATACGCTGTAACCACAATTGTTGAATGGCCCAGACCAAACTTCACGGCTTCAAGTAGCTACCAAAATCTTTTCCTCTAAGAGTTGTTACTTGGCTTTATTGCTTCCACAAGAAACAAATTTCTACTGTAAATCTTACCTACCCATGTGGCTCTGGCCCTGGGGACCAAAGTAAGTGGATAAGCAGACTTGATCAGGTACTGAGGGTGGTACCTGTTTGTTTGGTAGTTCTGCCTAGGGGGTCTTTGATTCCTCTAATTCCATATAATCATATCCTTTAAAAGTCGAGGGCTAATGTTATTGGAAGAAAACCATCAAAGGGAACTCCTACACGAGAACACAATGTGATTCTCTTAAAGTTATTTGGGAAAATTTGTAGCTTTGCCCATTAGTGTTCCTAAAAAAGTATTCTACTTTGGTGAATGTTTGGTTCTTTTAGTAGTAGTGTTCCATTTCTGGTTTCTGTTTTTTTATTTCTGTGTTTTGATGTAGTTTGATTTGTTTAGAAAAGCACTCTAATATCTGTAAGGTGGTCCTGAGAAGTACTTCTCAGAGGGACTGGATTGGATAAATTTCTGCTCACTTTTTTGCTGGCATTGTATGAAGGATATCAGAGTTCATATGATACAATTACATTCGATAATTTCTTGGAGACAGTGGGTTAAATGTATTATTTCAGATAATTCATAACCCTTTTAAATTAATAACCTCTTTTGAAAGATGATTCTACACTTAGTATAAAGAGTATGAGAGCTTATGTAGATTATGAAGGGGGGTTCCTTCCCGTCTCCCCCACCCCCCACCCCATTGAAGTATTCTGATATTTGATCTATAGTGTTTTTTAAATTTCTTAAATTGAGCTTTTCCTGGCTAGGCTGTTTGTGTAGTTATAGTTGTTTCATTACAAGTGGAGATGGACGTATGCCAGTAATTTGTGTCAGTTGGAAAGTGTTGGTTTGTCTTAAATTTAGGTATGCTATAAACGTCATACATAGGTGAAAGACACGTTTTCAGTGTTGTGGAATAGCTCAGGAACAAAGGTACACCAGGTATGGTCTTTGGCTAGGTTTCTGTAGCTACCTTTTGATTTTGCAGAAAAAGCCACCACGTGAGAATGGCCATAAGCCGATAAGTAGCAGTTCCACTGGATGTCTCTCTTCTCCAAATGCTACAGTACAAAGCCCTAAGCATGAATGGAAAATCGTTGCTTCGGAAAAGACTTCAAGTAAGTGTATTACGCTTGTCAGATTGTCTTTGAAGTACTTATTTTTAAAGAAGGAGTGTTGAGCGGAACCATTTAATAACTTTGAAAGTCACTGTGGAGAAAAAACTCAGAAGCAACTAAATTTGGAAAACAATAGCAGATCATTCTATGCTGGAATCTGGAGTCCAATTCAGGATCACGCAGGAAACCAAAAGTAACAATAACTGCATCTTAAACATAGAACTTTTGTGCTTACAGATAACACTTACTTGTGCCTGGCTGTGCTGGATGGTGTATTCTGTGTAATTTTCCTTCATGGGCGAAACAGCCCACAGAGCTCACCAACGAGTACTCCAAAACTAATTAAAAGTTTAAGCTTTGAGATGCAACCAGATGAGCTAATAGAAAAGCCCATGTCTCCCATGCAGTATGCACGGTCTGGCCTGGGGACAGCAGAGATGAACGGCAAGCTGATAGCAGCAGGTAAGAACAGAAGGATGAATGTTTTCTTACTGAAAACTTTTAACTGGCTAAGCCTCTTAAATGGACATTTGTGCTTGCTTGTAACATATGAACTTTGGAAGATAGGGTTTAATGCAAGCCTTCTTCCTTGGCATTCTGCTTTCCCACATTTTGAAAAGACCAAGAAGTAAAAAGTAAATACTTTCGTGTTGTCTAACCTTTAAATAAATGTCTGTTTCTAATTCTTAAACTATAACGTAGCTGAATTATTGTCCTTATTTTCAAAGCAAGACTAAGCAATTTACTCATACTGATAAATGTTGTTAAAACATCAACTAATGGGGCCTCACTGAGTTTATGGATAAAATTCCTTTTCTCGTTGTGCAGATTACTTAAATCCTTCTAGGCCAGGAACTCTGGTCCAGTTTAATATCTTACACGTACATCTTGATGATTCTTTTTACCAGGTGGCTATAACAGAGAGGAGTGTCTTCGAACAGTCGAATGCTATGATCCACATACAGATCACTGGTCCTTTCTTGCTCCCATGAGAACACCAAGGGCTCGATTTCAAATGGCTGTACTTATGGTAAGTGCACTGTGTTGCAAGAAGAAGTAATCCGTATTTAGCTGTTCCTCATACTTCAGAATGGCAGAAATTCTAATCTCTCACTTTTGATGCAGGGCCAACTCTATGTGGTAGGTGGATCGAATGGCCACTCAGATGACCTGAGCTGTGGAGAGATGTATGATCCAAGCATAGATGACTGGACTCCTGTTCCAGAATTGAGAACTAACCGTTGTAATGCAGGTAAAATTACTCTTCTTCTGGGATATTCAGTATTTAAATATGATAATTACCAATATATAACCTTATTTTATATTCGCAAGGAGTATGTGCTCTGAATGGGAAATTATACATCGTTGGTGGCTCTGATCCATATGGTCAAAAAGGACTGAAAAACTGTGATGTATTTGATCCTGTAACAAAGTCATGGACAAGCTGTGCTCCTCTTAACATTCGTGAGTTGATTTTTTGTGTGTCCTGTTTTTTGGGGGTGTGTGTGTGTGTGTGTGTGTGTGTTTTAACTTCTGAATCAACAGTATATGTAGTGTACGACTTACAGTTCGGGGAGATAAAATAATAATTTTGGCTCAACTTGATTTTATAGGTAGACACCAGGCTGCAGTCTGTGAGCTTGGTGGGTTTTTGTACATAATTGGAGGTGCAGAGTCTTGGAATTGCCTGAACACAGTAGAACGTTACAATCCTGAAAATAACACCTGGACTTTAATTGCACCCATGAATGTGGCTAGGCGAGGAGCTGGCGTAGCTGTTCTTGATGGTGAGTGTTGGGATTTGGAAAAGTGAGGAATAGGGAGTGACAACAGTTTCTTATAAAATTCTGAACGAAGGTCAGTGATGACTATATACTTGTATAATTAGAACTCAGAAACAGCCATCTTTGCCAATGCTCTAGGGATTGTTGGTTTGTTTTTTAGAAGTCTTTTCTAATAGAGACTCCGTTCTTAAAATAATAATATAAATATATCAACACACTATCATCTTTTGATGGGTTCACTGAGTGAAGTTCTAAGTCCTTTCCTTCCATAAACCATATGCAAAGTATATCATCTTGGAATTTGTTCCTTTAGAGCAAGAATTCAAAGAACTTGATCTGCAAAGCAAAAATAAGTACCGATCATCTAGATTAGTCTTTTCTAATTGTCTACTCCTTACCTAAATGGAAGCAATACTTAAGACCATTTTAACAAGTCTTTTGAAAGCATTAAACTTGGTTTTATATAGAAACAGCTTTCTTTTCACATCCATTTTATTGAGTTTCATGTTTATGTAATTAAGAGTTTAGTCAGCCTTGTCTTGGGAATAAAGCAGAATCTTAGTTAAGCTTGTGGCTCAACTGCTGAAAGCATAGATGTGTAGACATGCCAGCAAGTAGCCTACTGGACCATAGCCTGCAGGGCACCCCACCCCCAGCCTTGTCAGTTCTTATATAAATCTATAGATGCAGATAGGTTAAGTGACAGATGAGAAAATAACGATTTTTTTAAAGTTGTATAGTATTTAATGCTAACATTTTATCTGTTTGAAAATAACTAAGTGTTCTGCATATGTATTTGAAAATAAGTGATAACTTCTGGTCTGTTTCCAAGAAGTTTTTGTGCCAAAGTAATTTTATGTAGTTGGAAAGCTCAAGAAAATGTTATCTGAAACCTGCTTTTCTGTAACCTTTGAATCTCAGTTCTTAGGCACTAGAGTAATACAGAATTTCCAGTGCACAAAACTACTCTGGCTTGCCACTACTTAGCTGCATTTTTAGGTGACTTGTCCACCTTCTTTGTGCCTCATTTCATCTGTGAAATGGCAATAATAGTAGCTACCACAAAGAATTACGGGAATTAACTTCAGTTAGATGCTACCCCTCTCCTTTTAAATTACCTGAATTCCAGGTGTGAATGGGTTTTTATCAATTTTGTTGCATTTGTATCCACAGCTCCTAGAGAGCGTTTGCCACATTAGCGAGGCAGTTAATGAGTACTTTCTACACAATGAGCAGGCATTTCTACTAAGAACCACTGATTTTAGCAAAAAATAATTAAGTAGGGGTTTTTTTTTTTTTTCTTATTCTCTTTAGATTTACCTTGTTTCCTTTCTCTTTTAGGGAAATTGTTTGTAGGTGGTGGCTTTGATGGTTCTCATGCCATCAGTTGTGTAGAGATGTACGACCCAACGAGAAATGAATGGAAGATGATGCGAAACATGACTTCACCAAGGAGCAATGCTGGGATTGCAACTGTAGGGAACACCATTTATGCAGTGGGAGGATTTGATGGCAATGAATTTCTGAATACGGTGGAAGTCTATAACCTTGAGTCAAATGAGTGGAGCCCCTATACGAAGATTTTCCAGTTTTAACAAATTTAAGACCCTTTCAAACTAACAGGCTTAGTGATGTAATTGTGTTTAGTAGAGGTACACTTGTGAATAAGGAGGGTGGGTGGGTAATAGATGTTGCTAACAGCAACACAAAGCTTTTGCATATTGCATATTATTAAACATGCTGTACATTTTGTGTTTATTGGGAAAGGAATGCAAAGATGAAGGTCTGTTTTGTGTATTTTTAGGACTACTTTGGTTATTTTACTTTTTGGAAGTTAATATTGTAAAAGAATAAAACAAGACTTGATCAGGCATGTCATTTTAAGAAGTCCCCTCCTCCACATTTGTTTTTGCCAATTTGCACATTAAATGACTCTTCCCTCAAACATGTATAACGGGGGAAGGGGGTTGGGTTTAAGATCTAGACAGTTGGGTTTTTTTAAGGGCCCTTTTTCAATAACTGGAACACTCTATACAAAAGAGACTTATTTAACTAGATGACAATGACTATTTTTGTTTTTATTAAAAGAAAGCTGACATGCCTACCAAGATTTAATCTTTTATGATTGCCTTTTTATAACTTAACTTTTTATATTCTCAGCACAGTGCTTTACCTATTGAAGATAAGGCAGATTCAAATAACTGAAGCAGAGTGGCAGTCTTAAAGGATGCAGAGTAAGGTGTTTCTTTTATACACCCAGAATGCAAACTTCTAAGCTTTTGCCTCAGCTACTTTTTTTTTCTTTTTTTTTTTCTTTTTTTTTCTTTTGGAGACCGCAGTACCAGTAGTTTATTTGAATGGAGTTGCTGAACAGTAACGTAGCTGTGATTTTTATTTGAAACACTGATTTCAAATATTCTGACTTCTTGAGGGTATATTTTATATAGCAAGACACTTAATATATAACAGTAAAGAACGGTGAAGTACTTTATTTTCTAAATAATTCCTGTCTTTATTTATCATTAACAATCCTAAATAGCACCCTCGATTGTGAAAAAAATTAAAACTGTATTGGGTTTATGAATGCAGCCTTTATCAGAACTATGTTTTTGCTCAGTTTTTCTCTTCATATGGATAAATACTGGTTGGGGTGACTTTATGGAATGTGTAGTGCTGCACATAAAACTTATGGTGCCAAAATTAGCACATCCTAATGCTTGCTGCCAATGCAAACATATTAAAGGTACTTTGCAGGAAATCCTTGCACCATGGAATTAATATCCAAATGTTGTTTGTGTACTCATTCGTAACTTAAAAGTTTGGGGGATAGTTTTTTTCCCCAGTAATGATGAGCTTAAGGTATTTGGGAAAACAGTCACCTGCCATGTCTGAAATGGAGCTGATGGTAAGATTTTTTTCTCGGAGAAGACAAACATGTAAGAATCTCATGAGCCAACTGGGACAAGATGACGACCAGTGGCTAACTTGGGTTAGCCACTGGTACTTAGACACCTTCTTCCATTTACTCCACAAAGCACCATTGAGAACCTGCTGGCTCTGTAGTCCGTGACTTTTTTATTTATTGCTGGTTTGGTTCTGGATTAAAAGTAGGTTGGCAGATTGGATTTTGCCTCGTAGGAGGACTATTTTTTTAAATGGATCTGTGTATGTTCTGTTTAGCCCAAGGAAATAAAATCTTAGTTGGGGGATTCAGCAGTGAAATATTTGAAATTACTTCTTAATTCCTAAGTAGCATTAAGCAAATAATAGGTATGAATACTCTGGGTCAGAGTTTTTCTGTATTATTGATGCCAAACAGGTAGTTTGGTGGTTAAAAGTATCTTTTTTAAGTATGTTAGAAGCTCCCATAAAGGGGAGGGAAAGAGCTCAATGACCATTTGTTTATATTAATTTCCATCTAAAGGTACATGTTTTTCTTGAGGGAAGGAGAAAATATGGCATAGCCTCAACATAATTAAAAAAATGTTTTTTCCATCAGTATGGGTTTTGGGGTAGTTTAGAAAGAACATTGGTAATAACTACCCTGTGATCAGTTGTGAGAATGCCTAAAACGTACTAGATGACTAAAACAGTAGCAAAACTATAAAATACCTGCTTGAATTAATAATTTGTTATACTCACACATGAATTTTATTGTGACATTCAAGGTAGGGTTTTGATTTTGGGCCTCTAGTACGTCTTACATGCTTTCCCTTTCAACATGTCTTAGAATTCCTTATCTTTTAGAGCGCTGTGAATTGTGTAAGACTGTTGATTCACAGACCTGTACCCCTGAAACAAATAATACATTATATGTTAATTTCTTAAAAAAATAATTCCTTCTATTTTAGAGGAAAAAACTGGATCTGGAAGTGTGATACAGTCCTCCAATCCTTGCTTAATACTCTAGGTGTGTACCCTATGATTTCTCCAGATCTTAAAATTCTTAAAACTGAAGTAAGTAACAGAGAAGGAGTCCCTGGAGGATATTCCTGCAACTTCAGCATTGCCTTTGGAAGAATATGAGATCACAGAAAATTTTGTCTTTATAATCTTAGTCATTTATTTATATCCTAGTTGGTTCTAAAAAAGGATTTGAAGAGTCTTTCATGAAATGACTATAGATGTATTAACTGGGTGATTAAAAAAAAATGAAAAGGGAAAAGCAAGGAAACATCAATGTATGTAGTAAAATGGTGGTTACCAGAGGATTGGGGTCGGGGGGTTGTAGAAGAGTGATAGTGTTTAAGGGTACAGACTTGTAATGAGTAATAAATAAACCTGAGATCTAATGTGCAGTATGATGAGTATAGATAATGTAATGCTATAATTACGTAATGTGGTAAGTATCACTCCATGGCAGTCATGTTGCAATATATAAATGCATCAAAGTAAGCTATACAACTTAAACTTAACACAGTGTTACATGTCACATTTATTCATTTTTTTTTTTAAATCAAGAAATAGGAAGGAAGCCTCAGTAGGTTAACAAGGAATTCTCTGAAGCACCAGTTTCTTTCATAGTGAAACCAGAATGTTCTCGGTTGTAAAATGATGCACTGAGCAACAAGTCCTAGCACAATGGCCAACAGAATATTGAAGCTTCACTACTAATAGCTCCATGTGTTCCTGCCGGTTGAATAAGAGCAAGAAGCAAAAGCTCAGTTACTAAGTGTGTATAGGGTTGATACCTGGGGGGAATTTAAGAATCTAAAAAGGGTATACGTCTGAATAGATGGCTACACATTTGCTCAAAGTGAGCAAAGGGAGTAATTTTAGCTTGGAAAAAAGGCACACACAGTACCCAACTTGGATGAAAGAAAGAAATGAGGGATGACATAAGATGAGCTGAATGAAATATACAGCAAGTTAGTAAGAGCTGCCAGATTAAAAGGTTGAAAGGCACCTACCAAATGTAACTAGTTCAGTAATTAGCAGGGCCAGCTATCCGTTAAGGCTACTCCCAAATCAAAAGATCTCTAGATCTTATAACTGATAAAATTGAAGATCTTATAATTGATAAAACTGATAAAATTAAATTGATAAAATTGATTGCTTAAGCAAGTGTTTTGTCTCAAACAGGTGGTACTGAGTCTTTAAAGGTCCAGGCTTGAAAGAAAATGTTCTGGTACCCAGAACTCAACAACAAAAAGTAAATGGGGAAAAGATTTAAACAAGACACTTTACCAAATAAATGGATTTCAATAAGCACATGAAAAGACGCTCACTGTCATAAACTGAGGAAATGTAGAGAGTAGAATTCTCTACATAACATACACACCTATTAAAACAGTATCAAATTCTGGCTGGGTTGCAGATCAATAGAACCCAAATTGCTGGAGGAATCAAAATTGGAAGATCACTTTGGAAAACTGGCAGTTTCGACCAAATACCCTATGACACAGTAATCACTTACCTAGGTATTGACCCAAGTGAAATGAGAACCTGGTCACTCCCAAACCTGTCTGTGAGTATAGCGGCTTTATTCAGTCACCAACTCAAATAGCCTTCCAACTGCTGAATGGATAATTTGGTGCATCCATGCAATGAAATACTACTGGGGAATTAAAAGGATGAAGTCTTGTGGAGCAGTGGAATTCATATTTTAATCATGCTGGTGATGATGCAATTGTGTTTTGGCAAAACTCAAAACTAGTTTAATCAAAGGGGCACCAAACCTTTAAAAAAAAATTTTTTTTCTTCGTGTGCAGGAGGAGGAGTAGAGGTAGAGGGACAAGCAGGCTCTGCTGAGCATGGTGCCCAATATGGGGCTCAATACCAGGACCCTGAAATCCCCACCTGAGCTGAAACCAAGAGTTAGTTGCTGAATCAGTTGAGCCACCCAGGTGCCCCCCAAAAGGTATCAAACCGTTAAAGAAAAAGGCTTTAAAAGGGGGACTAGGAAACAGCCTTATTTTACCTTGCTGGAAATCCCAGCAAGGAACCATTGATTCCCACTGGCCTTGCAAGGATTATATACCGAGCTAATGTAGTTTAACCCATAACCACCAGACTACAGTAGAATTGCAAAAGCTAAGGAAAGATTAGAACTAAATAACACGTTGACATCAAGTTTGTAGTTGGGGGCACTGAGCCACCTCACCTAGTGTCATAGCTGATAATTGTTCAAGTTCATAGTGGTGTTTTCACCGGAGTGGGTTTTATTGGTAAAATAGCCACAGAACCATTAACTGGGAGACTGGCCTGTCAATTCAGTCTAAATCAGAAAAGGGCTTTGCGTAGCATCACTTACTGAGAGTGGAAGATGTATTTGATTTCTCAACAGTGAGATATGTTCCCTCTTGAAATTCATCCTGACTCATGGGATAAGAAAGGATGTTTGAAAAGGGCTCCAGGAGATGGGTGGGCTACGGGGAGTTGTCAGAAAATACGAACAAAGTGATCCGAGGTAGATCAAGGCACCCATCTAAAGAAATCTGGGTCTACCCTGAAAGAGTGAAAATATTTCCGTTCTCCCTGAAGGTGATGGTCAAAAGATAAAGGAAACAAGCTTCAGGTTTGTCCTTCAGGTGACAGGCAAAGACCACAACAGGAAACTGAAGTTGATCATCTGTGAGGTTCTAATCTGTGCAGTCCCAAATTGCCCACTACAGGGACTAACAAAATCCCAGTAGGGCACGAAACCCCAATTCTTAAACCAGCGTTCCTTTGGCCCAGAATGCTGGAATTGCTGGGGTTGCTACACCCAAAGGATCCTAATCTTCTCAGGAAGTGCATTATCTTTGGTAAAAGTAAACTGGGAAAGGCTAGTGGAAAATGGTGCCAGAAATTTTGCTGGGATAATCCTCATGGATGTCCCTCGTGAAGTTATTACAGCAAGTTATTAAGGCAAGGCCAAGGGCATTATGTAGAAAGCCCTTCCCCTGTGTGACTTCCCTCATCTGTCCCTACTGGCATGCTCAGGATGGCTTCTACCCAAAATGCAACAGGCATACATAATGAAGAATGGAGATTTTAGAACTGAAGTTCCTCTCGCAAGGATCTTCCACCAAAACAAACGTGTGTTTTGCAAGGTAGAGTTTATGATCCTTAGGTCAACTGAGTTATCTCAATCCAGAGGAGGGATCCAGAAAAAGAGGAAGGGAGAGGGAACCCTAAACTGCATTATACTAGCGTATAACAGAAAAGTACAGTATAATAGTTAAAGTATAAAATTAAGATTAGATTAGATAAAAATAAAAAACGGTTACAATTAGAAAAAAAAGGCAACAAAGAAACCTGACATTTCAAAGAAACAAAGCCTAAACATGTTTAAAAGAATGTTTAAAAAGAACAGCAAAAAGACTAGGAAGTCAGAGGAAAACATCTTCACATATCAGTAAAATTTTTAAAAATTTTGAGGTTGAAATAATTGACAAATTACTGTACAAAGGAAAAGATACATAAGCTAAAAATCTATATGTACACGTCAAAGTGTGCAGGAGAGAAATTTCCTAAAAATCACACCCTGTTAAAAAGATTAGAGGGAAAAAGGAGAGGGAGGCAATAGCAGAACCAAAACCCAGGAACCACCACCAGAAGCAGCTGAGGGATGAAGATCTGAAAAAACTTGGTGGAGGGGATGTTTTTTGCAGAGAGCAGAGATCCTCTGGAAGCTTCTCCCACATGGCTCCTATCCCTATCCCTAATGTCATTGGAGCCCCAGGTAGGGGTGCGGCTTCCAATGCAAACATACAGCTCAGTGGGTCCTGCAGTGACTGACTGCGAGCATCTTGGGTAGATTCTCTTTTACTGGAGAGGGTTGCTTTTATCATCATACCTTGTA